AGCTGTGAAAAGGATTGTTCATAAACCATAATTGCTCACTATCTCATCAGACTTTGGACTACCCTTGCGAGGTGCCACAAGGTTGAACATACGCAGATTAAAATATCAAAATACTCCCTGTTTGCCAAGTTGCCTTTCGACTTTACCATTGTTAGTAAGATCAACCTATTTTATAACAACAGCAATTAAACTGCCACATAAATCTGACTTTTAATTGTTTCTAGAATTAATTTTCTTAAGTAATATTCTCAATATCTTCCACAAAAGCCCAATAAACTTAGGAAAATTGCATGACCCTGGCCTGCAGACCAGATTGGGCTTGTAGCAGTTACACAATCATTTTATGAAGTTTCACTAGAGCACACCCTGGGTGTCATAAAGATAAACCCACTGAAACTTAGGCAACAAGAACTGGAGCATCCATTTATGAAACCTCCACCATGTTTCTCAACTGTTTCCACTTTCCATGATCACAAGCGTAACATAACTTCTTAACTCCCCGACGTCCTGCTGATGCATTGCTTCCACTTTGAGTTCCAAACTTTGGAGGCTTTTTATGTTTAGTGTATATTTGTTTTGGTATCTACTGGTTAACTGTTCAAATCACAGACAGAGTTCAACTCTTGAATCACGTCTTCAGCATTTTCCAGAACACAAGCGATACCTGCCACCATGACTCACAATGTTTGAACTCAAGTTAGTTTAACATCAGTGAAATCATGGAGGCAGACGTCAGCATGACCTCTTAAGAGGGGCTTTCTCCTTGGACTTCCTCTTCCTTTCGACACAAGATGGCGTCTGTATCAGCGAGCACATTTTATGGAAAGTCAAAGGGTAAGTCAAATATTGTTTAGTTATTGTTTTTTTACTATGATATTCATATATTTTCTTGTTTATTAACATGTCAGGAATGATATATTTAGTTCTGAAAGCACTTCAGTTATTTGGTTTTTGAAATAATAGTAATTTTATGAATGTCAATTATAGTGGACACCAGGACCAGATTAATGTATTTGATGACTCAACATTGTTGTAGGAGACAGAACCCAAGCAGAAAGGATTCTGTACCGGATAGTTGAGGGAGAGTCAGATTTGGAGCTTTCAGATGATTAGAGAGATGAGGATGAGTGTGAGCCTGGTGAAGAAGAAGAAGAATGCGACGATACAGGAGGCTCAGATGATACAGACACAGAGACAGACAGGGATGAGCAGGAAAGACGTCGTCCTCTGTGGGCCAGGAGTAGCACGTAGGCCTATGTTTTATCCCAATGATGCACTACGACCTGACTGCATATAATCCAAATAGATTTGTGTGAGGTTTAATTATTATTCCTGTTATTACCTTTCATTTATTGGTGTTATTTTCCATCATAATAGATTCACACCTGTGCTACCTGGGCTTCCTGACTGTCAAGATGACTCTACGACCCGTGCAGACTGGAGTCCAATTCAGTACTTTTCCCAGTACATTGACAACAAAGTCTCTGAAGATTTGGCAGCATTCACAAATCAAAGAGAGCTGCAAACTAGAGGAGTGGCTCTGAATACTAGTCCACAAGAAATTAAGATCTTCTTTGGCATATCAGTCCACATGGCCTGCCTTGGCTACCCCAGAATTAGAATGTATTGGGTCAAAAAAACAAAAGTGCCAGTTATAAGCAGCAAAATGGCAAGGGATAGGTTCTTCAAGCTGAGAAGCTCACTCAAGATTGTGGATGACCTGGATGTAACAGAGGAAACAAAGGAGGCAGACATTCTTTGGAGAGTCAGGCCATTACTTGACCGTGTGAGGCAAGGCTGTCTCAGCCTTACAAAGTCTGAGAAGGTCTGCATTGATGAGCAAATCATCCCTTTCACAGGCCACTGTCCAGTCAGGCAATATGTTCCAGGCAAGCCAAACCCAACTGGCCTAAAGGTCTTTGTTCTTGTCCTTGCTTCTCCAAATGGCCTGATGCTGGATTTCGAAGTGTACCAAGGGAAGAAGACATTCAGCGGCCAAAGATTGGGCGTTGGAGCAGCATCAGTCCTACGCATGGTTGAATCTGTTCCCACAGGAACTCACCTATTCTTTGACCGATACTTCACAACAATCGATCTCATGGATGCATTGCTGGCAAAGGGCCTTCCAGAAACTGGAACCATAATGAAGAACCGAGTCTCAAAACCGTGCCAGCTGCCAGGACACAAGCAGTTGTGAAAAGAGGGGAGAGGAGCATCAGTGTCTGTGGTCAGAAAGAGTCCTGAGCTGGCAATCACGAAATGGTTCGACAACAAACCAGTGCTGATGGCTTCCACTGTACATGGGAAAGATCCTGAAGATATCTGCGCCAGATGGTCCAAGAAAGAAAAAGTCCATGTCCATGTGGGAAGACCAGCAGTGATCAGACAATGACAACATGGGTGGTGTGGACCTATGTGACCGAATGCTGAGCTTTTATCGCATGTCAAGCAGGACCAAGAACTGGACATTGCGTGTGATTATTCACTTCTTTGACGTTGCCATCACAAACTCCTGGATCCAATACAAGTCTGACAGCAAAGCGCTTAACCGACCAGCGAAGAACACCCAACAGTACTTGGACTTCAAATTACACCTGGCTGAAGAGCTGTTGGATTGTCCAGAGCTTGATGACAGCGGTGAAGACAGTGAAGAAGAGTATGAGCCACCAACCAAAATGAGGATCCCACAACCAGAGCCATCTGTGCTTAGACTTGGAGCCAGGCACATGCCAGAGATGATGGATACCAAGCATGCAGAACGATGCAGAAATAAGGGCTGCAGAAGCAAGACGTACATGAGGTGTACCAAATGCAAGATGTTCCTCTGCATCACCAAAAAGAGAAAATGCTTCCAGGATTATCACCGCTAAAAATAAAACATGCTAAAGAAGAAATGAAGAACAATAGTATGGAAGCCCATTTCCGCCACTGTGAGGAAAAAAATAAAGGTCCTGTTATCTAGAAATTTCGACTTACTATCTCATAATTTCGATTTACTATCTCATAATGAGATTACTTACTATCTCAGTAAATCGAAATTATGAGATAGTAAGTCGAAATTATGAGATAGTAAGTAAAAATTTTGAGATGGTAAGTCGAAATTCCGAGATAGTAAGTAGAAATTTCGAGTTAACAGGGCCTTTATTTTTTCCTCACAGTGGCGGAAATGGGATTCCATACAATAAAGAATGATGAACAAAAGTAGATTGGTTTAGGTAAATATCTGTTCTAATTTAGTTCTACTGTTCACTCTTCAAATAATCCATCTTCAAATGGATGAATGATTTTGTTTTTTAATCAAGTTGAATGTATTATTGGTTTAATATCACTCTACAGCCATAATTTGTTAATTTTGTTATCTTCTATATTTGGCTGTCTTTTCACACTAAAATGGTCCTGTGGTCCACTACAGTGGACATGCTGTAAAATTAAAAATTAAAATAATTTTTGAAAAGTCTAAATTATAAGATTTTTTTTAACTCTAAGTAGGTAGGAAATCACAAAAAATAAGAAGTTGGAAGACACTCCTTAAGCCGCGCTGCAGTCGTAATGCACAATCCGGCCTTTCTGATCAGTTTTCCTACAGACTGATGCTGACTACTTAAGTACATCTAACTGGGAGAATTAGGGACTTATAGCAAATAAATGCATAAGGGATTCTTTTGTTTAGGATGGAAAATTGATTATTGTAATAATCTTTTCACCAAAATCATGAGAGTCTTACTGTTTTGGGCATCTTGGCTCTGGTTGGTGGACGAGGTCCAGCAGAAGAAAGTGTTTCCCAGGTAGACCGAGGCTGCAGTGGTCGACTCCCAGCAGGATCTCCACCTGATAAAGAACGCAGCTCCGCTCTCGCCGGCAGACTCAAAGGCAGGGCTTGTGTCCTTTGAACTCGGCTGTAGAACACTCAAAGTGACGTGGGAGGTTCAACTTGGCTACTATCACACAAACGGACAGACTTACCTCCAGTGTGACCATCTGGCAGGGCGAGACACACGGCTCCACCTAAAGTCAATCACCTTATCTTATATTCGTAGGATTTTTACTTGAAACAGTATTTTTGTACAGTCAAGAAATATTCTGCATTAAATAAAAGTCCTGCATTCACAATTTTACTGAAGTAAAACTACAGAAGTATCAAAGTACTGTGAAAGTACCAGACGTTAAAGTACTCATTATGCAGAATGGCCCATTTCAGAATGACATACATTATATTATTGCATTATAATCATTGATGCATTAATGTGTACATCACTTCAATGTCGCAGCTGGTAAAGGAGCCGCTAATTTTAATCACTTTATAATTTATACCGCCTGGTAGTTTAGCTCTTATCTGATCTTAATAATATATAATAATGTATTTGTTGATTGTATTTTGTATTACTAATCTTAATCAGAGTAACTTAAGGTGTCGAATGAATGTAGTGAAAGTACAATATCTCCCTCTGAAATAATACCAACGTGACGGCAAATCCCTGGGACTCTGTCGCCATTCTGTGTGGCGTCTTCATGGCTCTCTTCAAGGCTGCAAATTTTGCCAAACTCACGATTCAGTGGATAATCAGAATGCGTAAGAGGCATCTGAGGAACAAAACTCGGGAACTGAACCATATAAACTGAAACGTTTTGCAGAAAAACACTGATGACACAATCTGACAAGATCCGAATCATCCAAGTGGGTTTTATTTTCACAAGACTGTGATTTTTTTTTTAGGTCAATACTTAATAATCTTTTAATGATTGGTAAATATTCTCCACACTAGGGAATGTTTATTGATAACATGTTTTATAGATACAGGGATATGCTCTAACTGAATACTATGATGGATTAATCATTTACCCTCCATGCAGTGTGTGTGTGGAGCGCTGTGGTACAGAGACGGTGTGGTGGTGTAATGCTGGGCTTCATCCAGCAGGGGGCGCTACAGGACACGTGATGAAGATGACGATGACGATGATGCAGACACACATTTATTTATTTAAGAAAGCAAACCAGTTTAAAGAGAAACACATTTTCTATCGTCTCTTGTTCTTCGTTATTCATTGATTTCATATTGATTGTGAGAGTTACTTCTTTACCTCCGAAATAATAATAATTATTATTATTTTATGTTTATTGAGAACTTCATTCACAAATTACCAAATTATGAATCTGTAGCGTACAAGTGTTCACACTCCAGCGATCAGCTGATGTGGCTGCCTGTGCGTCCGTTAGGCTGCGTCACAGGAGGCGAAGGGCGGTGCCCCCCCCCTCCCCCCTCCCCCAGGTAGGGCGCACCAGCAGCGGTCACGTCACCACAAACACGCGCACAGAGGAGGCAGTGTATGCAGAGCAGCGGAGACTCCCAAGGTGCCAAACACACACGCACACACTCACAAACTCACACTCACTTTCCTCCGCCTCCTTAGTCTGGAGGAGGAACGACGGAGCGAGAAGGAGCCGAAAACATCCCGGAACATTTGGAAACATCGAAACAGGGAAGTTGCGGAGCGCGTGAGCAGCAGCATGTTCAGCTGGGTGAAACAGGAGCAAGGTGGACGCAACAAGGACGGAGAGATGTACCAGACGGTGACGGAGGGGCTGCAGAGCCTCTACCTGAAGAAGCTGCTGCCGCTGGAGGAGACCTACCTCTTCCATGACTTCCACTCTCCGGCCCTGGAGGCCGCCGACTTCCAGAGCAAGCCCATGGTGTTGCTGGTAGGCCAGTACTCCACCGGGAAGACCACCTTCATCAGGTGAGCGCGCGCCCCGCCTCGTACAGTCCGTATCATGAGTTCTAGAGCAGAGGTCTTCAACAGGGGGTCCGCGAAACTTTTGGTTGATTAGACAATTTTTTATTTTTTTTAATAATTTTTTTGTTTTCCAATCATGAATCTGTCTATTATTTTAATAGTTCAGTATAGTATGCAAGATAACAAGTATGTTTATGCATGGCAGTGGCACTAATAGGCCATCACTCATTTTCGTTTCCACATTCATGTTCAAAATGAAAACATCAGTTTGAATAGCTTGTGTGCATAATTATCATGCTATTGACAGACAATGTTGATGTTGGCATTGGTATCAGTTGACAAGGTCTGTTTATAAATGGCAGTGGCACGGCCGCCCTACTCACTGCACCTTGCACATGTTTAAAATAAAAACATGAATATATGAACCTGTGTATTATTTGAATAGCTTAGTATTGAATGCACAATAAAGAGGTATGTTTATACATGGCACTAGGCCCAGTTTAATATAAAACACAATTTTATACAATATATATAGTCGGGGGTCCCTGCTCCATCTCTATCAGTTTGGGGGTCCTTGGCCTGAAAAACGTTGAAGACCCCTGTTCTAGAGAGTTCCTCTGCATGTGGAGAAGCAGCTTCATCAGGTCACACTAGTCCCGGTCTCTGGTCCTGTAGACCTGTACAGTGAAGCTCTCTTCTCCTCAGGTGTGCTTCAGAGTGTCAGCACAAACATCTGAGGAGGCAGACTCGCGTGTCAGGTTTCTGGAGAATTCGGCGAACATAAAATCCAACAAGACCGATTCTTTTATTTTTTATTTTATTTGAGTTAAGTTCTGTGTTCCTTCACTGCGCGGATGGAAGCCACATAAACACTTCAAAGATCATTAAAAGACACAAAGTTGACCTTCTGTAGTTGATGCCGAAGTGGATAATGTAACGGTAGTATGTACAGCATGTCTCTAGTCTTTCTCTATAAAATGCAGAGCTTTGCTAAATAACACGAAGGTCTTAATAAAGACACTTCTTAAACGCACTTTGGCATTATGTCCCCTTCAGGGCGTTGAAGGTATTTCACTCTGAGGACACATTTGAAACAGTCTGCATGTGTTTACTGACTACCTGACATGTGGGCTGTTGTCTCTAAAATGTGCCTTTATTGTGAAAGCCTGAGCACCAGCTGAGGCTCATGGGAAGTGTAGTGCTGTTAACAGCCTGTCAGACGTGTGGGGTGAAGGTGTCCTGGATGTGATGACGACATCCTTTCGGTGTCACTGATCTGCTATTGTTCTGTGTATTTACACGACCTTTCGTCATGCTGCTGCTCCGGCAGACGCTTCTGATATTTCCTGCACTTTTTAGTTGTTGTTGAAGATGAGAGGTCTGATGGGGTCCTGCAGCAGGCCTGTGGGGGGTTTGCATCCTGCTTCTATGTGCTGACCTTTGTTTTAAACCAGGAAATCGTTCATGTACATATTGAAATGCTGTAGTGAGTGCATGGCCTCCACACGGTAACATGTTTGATTAATAAGATGATTAACACATAAAAGCACTACATTCAGAGTGTTGGTCACTCGTTGGTGTCTTATTGTGTCATGAGTACAACGTGATGAACCAGAACCACAGCACATTAAAACAGTGAAAGAACTTCAACAATCAACGTTTCAGACCTCCGCTGTCTGCAAGAACATTCATAAACCACTGACAAACATTTACTATCTAGAACAATCAGAGTGAATACTAAATACTTTCTCCTTCTTTTGCAGGATTTTGAGACAAAGTTAACAAACAAAATGAAATGAAAATACATTTTTTGTTTATTTGTACACCCGAGTGTTTCAGGGTGTTTTTGTTGAACCATTAAATGCACAATATGTCATTTTTAAATGATAGTGTATCGATATGTCCACGACTACATTCGACACATTAACAAAAATTCTGTTTTAAACGGATATAAAATTGCCTCGAATCCCTGTGTGACAAACAACCCCCTCCTCCGCTCCTGTTACGCTAGATATCGCTAACTATTACCTATAAAATACCTATAATATTACCTCTTATATACCTATAATATTACCTCTTATATAGGTATATAATATTACCTCTTATATACCTATAACATACCTATTCTAAGGTCAGTGACCTCCCGGCCTGTCACATGACCCGGCCAAAATCACAAGCAAACGGCCGTGACCCCGACACGTGATGGATGTAGCAGTGTAGTGCCCAGGACTTACTGTACGTATCAATACACAGCTCTAATGCTAACGTTAGCTCAGCTTGTTCCTCTGATAACTTAAGATCCAGACGTCTGATGCTAACGTTAGCTCAGCTTGTTCCTTTGATAACTTAAGATCCAGACGTCTGATGCTAACGTTAGCTCAGCTTGTTTCTTTGATAACTTAAGATCCAGACGTCTGATGCTAACGTTAGCTCAGCTTATTCCTCTGATAACTTAAGATCCAGATGTCTGATGCTAACGTTAGCTCAGCTTATTCCTCTGATAACTTAAGATCCAGACTTCATAATAATAACCGTCATTTTCTAACCAACCTAGGCAAAAGAAAAATAGAGACTTTTTATCCATAAAAGCTGCATGTTAGACCCATGACCTCAGTTCTAGTTAATCCTGGTGTTTTTAGCCTGGAGGCTGGTACGTAGTCATGAGTTAAAGAGCTGATCCACACACACACACACACACACACACACACACACACACACAC